TTTGGTTTTGCCTGTTTCTTGAACTTTGAATTTTCCAAAGTGGCTACACCAATATTTATTCCCACCAGCAGTGTAGTTTCAATTATTTCAACTCTTGGCCAACACTTGGCATTTTCTGTGTTTTCCATTTCAGCGATTTTGTGAGCATGTGGCAGTATCTGATTGTCGTTTTAATTTGTATTTCTCTAATGATTAAAAAAGTTGAGCACCTTTTCATGTTTATTGGCCACTTTGATCCCCTCCTTTGTGAGGTCTCTTCAAGTCTCTTGCCCCTTTATATATTTTTTAAATTGATTTGTGGTTCTACAAATTCAGATAGGAGCAAAGCAGATGTATTTCTATTGTAGAAATGAATGCATTTGCCTGATGCTGTTAGAACTCCCCTTACTCTGGTGCCAAATTCACCAAGGAATCCTCTGGGAGAAATGTATAGGCATACCTTAGAGATTTTGTGGGTTTGGGTCCAGACCACTGCAATAAAGCCAGTTGTAATCTTTTTGCTGGTAGAGGGTCTTGCCTTTAATTTGTAAAATATGCAATGTCCTTGAAGTGCAATAAAATGAAAGATGCTTGTAGTTGACTTCATGTATTCTCTCTAAAACAATGTATAATTGTTTTGCCAGAAAATTTGATACATACTGGGAATATAATGGCAAAAAAGTGAATAGGTTCAATAGCACTGAAATGAGAACTATATAGAAATCTTCTTACGTTTACCACGTTCGTGACTTTAGGCAAGTCCATTATCCACTTTAGTCTCCGTTTCCTCGTTGGAAAAAATGAGGCTATTAATACTTATTTTACAGAGTTGCTGTGAGGATTAAATGAGACAATATGTGTTAACAGGCTTTGCACAGTGGCTAGCACGTAGGAAGCTTTCAGTAAATGGTAACTATTATACATTTGGTTATTTCCATGTAGCCTTCCATTTCTATATGGAAGGAGAAACTAAGCAGATGTCCATTCCTCTCCCAGCCATTACAGTTCTCATTATAAAGTAAATGATGGCATTTGGATTTAGATAAGTGTTCTGGAAACTTGGTCCTTCTGACTCCCTTTGTCTTGAGTGCCTCTAGAGCAGTGCTTCAAAAATCATTTGGGGTGGCCTTGGCTGGTGTGGTTCTGCTGGTTGGGGCATGGGCTCATAGCTGGAAGGTTTCAGTGTTTGATTCACGGTCAGGGCACATACCTAGGTTGCAGGTTCAGTCCCCAATAAGGGTATGTGAGATCCCCAGTCTGGGTGTGTATGGGAGGCAAGCCATTGATGTTTCTTCTCTTTCATACTGGTGTTTCTCTTTCTCCCTTTCTCTCTCTGAAAGTAATGAAAAAAAAATGTTCTTAGGTAAGGATAAAAAAAACCCATCTGGGGTGAAAGATCATTATAGTCCTCAAACCTTGGAATATAAAAATAAATTGCTAGAAAAGGGAAATAAAAAAGAAAACAAAGATATACACAATACAACACCAAAATTTGTATTAGATCCACAGACAAAAGAATGTGTAAACTTGCTATAAAAGTTTCTAAATTCTTACTCTCAACTTCTGTAAATGCCTTGTCATGGACCAGTAACAAAGGGTTTGCAAACTGTCATAAACCTGCTGACCACACTTTTGGTGGGACTGTTAAAGAGCACTGACAAAAATCAGACTTCTGGATCTAAAGGGCTAAGGTCAGAACCTGGAATGTGGGGATTCAACTGAAGGGTTGCTCTTGGTCCCGAATCATCAGCAGGCCATCTAATGGCTTTTTCTAGCCTCGAGCATAACACCATCACTCCCTAGATCAAGAACTATCCATTGTTCTCTTTGTCTTTAGGGCAAAATTCCAATCACTTAACATGGCACCCAAGGCTTCCAGGCAGGTTCCACACAACTCTTTTAGTCTGATTTCCCACTAGACTCCACAGTCCACTACAGGAGCAGCTAGCCACACGTGACTATTGTGCACTTGAAATGTGGCTAATTTAGGGAACTGTAACCTTGTCACTATTTAAAAATTATATCAAAAGTCTGATACATCATCCAATTACTGCAAAACTTTTAAGCATGCTTGGAATGATCTGGGGATGTGAATCTACTTTTTAACTGTAAATCTTAGGAAATCAAGTATTGAGATATGCTGTCAGGTAAAATACATAACAGATTTCAAACACAGTACTAAGAAAAAGAATGTCAAACATTTAAAAATATTTAATACTTTTTAATACTGATCACATATGAAATGATACTATTTTAGATACATTGGGATGAATAAAAGTCATTAAAACTAATTTCAACTGTTCCTTTTTATTTTTTAATGTGGCTACTATAAAATTATGTGTGTGGTTTGTGTTATATTTGTATTAGACAAAACATGCCCCACATCTTGGAAGTACTCTTGATCCTTCCCTTTCCTTCACTCATGTCTGATTAACAACAAAATATCTCCAACCCCTCCACTTTATCTTTACTGCTACTCTCCATGTTACTCTCTATTCCTCAAAACCCTCTGATGGCTTCTAGAGCACTTAAACTTACCAAGGGTGCAGACTTTATCTACCATTCCTTTCTTTGCCCTCTAGGCTTCAGCCACACTGGCTTCCTTGCTAAACACAACACACTCTTGCTTTAGGATTTTGCCCTGCTATTCCTTTCGGTCTCGAATACTGCTCTTAACTTACTCCCTTTCAGATCTTTGCAGAGAGTACCTTTCTCAGTGACCCCAACTCTGACCAACCAAAATTTTGCCCACTCACTCCCCCAGAGCAAGGCTTTATCCAAATACTCTTTTCAATTTTCTTCATGGAACAGATTATGGGATATTATCTTTCCTCCTTTTTTTGGTAAAACTTATTTAGTCTGTTCCCTCCACTAGAAGAAGTAGTAGGAACCTTTGTTGGTCTTGTTGCTGTTTAATTTATTCCAGTGTGTAGAACAGTGCCAGTTACAGAGTGGTGCTCTTGAAACAACTTAAATGAGTAAACATCTAATTATCTACTTGACATATCTGCTTGGTTGGTTCACAATCACTTCAATTTCTACAAGGTCATAATGAAACTTCCTCACCTAACTTCTCTTCCCTTGTTTCTAATCTCAGTGAAGACATTACCATTCTCCCAGCTGCTCCCCCAACAAACTTGGGAGTTATCTTTGACATCTGCTTCTCAGCGGCTCCATTATCCAGTCCACCAAATGACCAAGCCCTCAATCACTTTGGTTATATTCTTCAGGCCTACTTGCCACTATCTCAGTCTAAGTCATTACTCTCTCAAGGATTAATGTTTTCTTCCTACTGTTTTCCATGCCTCTGATTTTTGCACAATAGTTACCTTTCTAAAATGCAAATCCAATCTTATGATGCTTCCATTTAAAATCTTTCAAATTCTTCTCAGCTCTCAAAAGCTAATTCCTGCACATGGCATTCCTGGCCTTTATTAGACCTCTTCAGGAATATCTCAGGCACTTCTGAAAAAGCATTATTTTCATCACCCAACCACCTCTCCAGAGTTTGCCTCTTAACCTTTGCACTTATTGCTTCCTCTGTCTGAAAAGCTCTTCCCCAATTCCCTTATTAAAGTTAATTGCTTCTCCAGTCCCATTCCAGTCCTTCCTCCCAAGGTAAGAGATTCTTCTTGTATAAGATTTCAGAGTATCCAACGGCTTCCCTCATTATACTGAAGATGCTGATTTGTCTACAGTCTATAGCATAACATTAATGAGGGCAAAGATTCTAAACAAACCATTTGCTTAATAAATTCAAATAAACAATGTTAAAGAAGAGCATCTGGCCAAAAACACAACAAATTTTTATCAACTGCGGCAATGCAAATATTAGATCACAACAGAATATGGCCCGTAAGTCATTCACTCTACTCTTAACGTTAGGCACAATGCTTTATTAAATTACACCAGTATTAGAAAAGGGTAAGTGGAAAAAAAGATTACTTATTTGAGTCCACATAGATCAGTGGGCAATATGGATTTAATTAAACCTGTCAGCCTCCCCCCGCCCCCAATTTGTCTGATACTCTCAATTCCTAGATATAGGATGTCAAAGGTTGAAAGCGGGTGGGAAAGTCATTCCCAAGCTCCTCCATTAAAAACATACCAGTGAGTTGGGTTTCTTAGTAAATCATCCCACGTAAATTAAATTCATAAGGTTTAACTTTGCACATCACCATATCCAAGTAAACTATTGCTACTCTGTTACTAAACACAAGTCTTGATATTCCACCTACTAAAAAGCACGTCTACCACAGGTGTCAGTAATCCAAGGGAATTTAGAGAGCAGTTAGTAGGGTTACGAAATATTAGCATCAGAATTTTAAAAAGCCGCAGGAATGTGTAAGTCGTGATTAACCTGCCCATCCTTCCTTCCTCCCCTTGTATCTGAAGAGCGACTCCCGCCCCAGCCTGCCTAGTTCAATCTAGGGAGACTTTTAAGTTAAATCCTGACTGCCCTTCCATCTCCTAGTACTTTGCTAGGTACGTCAGCTTAATCTCGGACCCCGGATTCCCCGTTTTTCAGCGTTCATGCCGGAAAACACAGGAACGTTAGCACAGGAATTTTAGTTTCCCAACTCCTTGCCGCCTAAGGAAGAGGCGGGAAAGCTCGGCGGCCGGACGGACTTGCTACCCAGCGCACATGGCCGGCCGCAGCTCCCACCCCTGTGCCGCGCAGGCGCCGGGCGAGCCGGGACTTGCGGTCGTCAAGAGCGGATCATTCCGCCGCTTTCTTTGTGTAAAGATCTAGAAATGGCCTATTTCCTTCCCCTTCCCTAAATACAAAAATCAGACCTTCCCGTCCCTTTCTTTCCTCCGGACGGGGTCGGGCAGTGAGTGGGAGTGGGATCTGCTAACTAGGTCTGGGGCGGAAAGGCTCAGACGCGGGGATGCCGAAGGCCGGGTCTGGGAGGGATGCTGGGAGCTTTGACTCACTGACATACCATGTGTCCCTCCGCGCGCAGCACGGGGGACTTTTCGGTGGGGATTTTGGGCGCCGACCAGACGCGGCATTTTCAGAAAATAGCGCCCTGTGCAGCTGAAGCGCTTTGTGTGTAGCGGGGCCGCGTCAGCCCGGCCGGGTACGAAGCGCCTCGGGTCCCCACACCACCTCCTGCTGCTCCCCCGTCGCCGCTCCCGAAGCTTTTCCAGGTCAGTGCGGGTCTGTGTAGGGCCCTGTTACCACCGGATGTGGAAGTTGATCTCTTCGCTGGTAAAAAATAATTCCACTTCCCCCGGAACCCAGATCATCCCCGCGATTTCCTGTTTATTGCATTAAGGCGCCGGGTTTCCGGGGCTCCTGGCCCCGCTTATTCCGCGGGGGTCGGCGGGGTCGGCGGGGTCGGCCTGGGCGCCTTCTCCGCCCGCGCCTCCGCCGCGCATTGTCCATTGAACACCCCGCTTCTGGGAGGGGCGGGCAGACATGGTGGCGGCAGCCGCCCCCTCCTCGGCCACGGCGCACAGCGGCCTCTCCGCCGCTACTTGCCAAGGCTGTCCGGAGCGGCGGCCCCGGGACGGGGATGGTGTCGGGCCCGGGCGGTGGGGCCTCTGCGGGCGTCGGGAGGCGGGCGGGGAAGAGAGGCAGGCGCGGCCCGGCCTCGCCGTCCGCTGCCTCGGGAGCCGCGGATCTCTTTGTCTGGGCGGCGTGACGGCTCTGTCGGGCTCGCTGGAGCGGGAAAAGGGCGGCAGGGGCTTCTGGCTCCGGGTGCGCTGTGCCGCGGAGGCGCTCGGGCCGCGGCGGGAGCGTACGGTCCAGACAGGGTTAACCGGAGAACCGGTCCCGTTCCCGGCTGGGTTGCCGCGGCGACTCTCTTGGCCTTGGGGACTGGAGTCCTGTGGGGACGAAGCCTGCTACTCTGGATGCTGAGACCTGCTTTTGGGACTTGGCCACCGGGATCTGCGGGTGCTTGGCTTCGGGAAAGAAGTTGAGAATTTTGCCAGTTCATTTCTGCCTGGAGACTTAATCAGTGTGTCTAAGTGTGTTTCGTTGAAGCTTTCCTATCGTGTTGAATCGACAGCCTCAACATGGGTAGCCTCAGGGGTGCAACGTGAAAACTGAAACCAAAGGAATGATGTAGGCCCGCTTTGTGTGTTTTCCCACTTTAAGCTTGTTTGCAGTACACATACTCTTGCTTTAAACCTGATTGGACTGTGGCGAGCAGACATCTGTTCACGGGAGAGGCAGAGACCACAGTGCTTCTGAAGGGGGCTTGGTAATGTGGAAATATTTAAGTGCTCTTTCTGGACACTGAGTCGCTGTCTGGATTCAGGCAAGTTACTTCTGAAGTGCAGTTTTTATCTGGAAAATGATTTAATGTAGTTAGGGAAGGATCCTTGTAATTTTCCATGTCAAGAATTCATTATGTAGAAGTTACTGGTCAAAAATTCTTTTTGCAGATAGTTTCTCTCACATATAGACCCACCCGACTTGACTTAAATTTCTCGGTGACATAACCATCACCCTTGACACTTACACTTTCTGGCCCAGTCTTTGAATTTAAGTGAACTAGAGACAGCTTTATTTTCCTTAGTTTTCCTCTTTAAGTATGTAACCGAAATAAACTCATTACATGTTAACATAAATGACACATTGAGCAAAGAGTGACATTGTTTTGCATTTCTACAAGTCTTTAAACGTCGGGTTGGAAGATAGCTAGATTCCTAAATCTTTCTGCATTCAGTTTGTTGTGGTCTCATGTAACGTCGGGAACAATCCACTGTATACTCATGTCTTTTTTTTTTTAACTGAGAAATGTGTCATTTCTAACATCCCCACCCCCCAAGTCAAATCAGGGTATTATACCAGACACATTTTAAAAATATGGTTAAGAAGACTGATTTATATACTTTCTTCTTAGGCTTTCTTTATCTTTTTTCAGTTTGGGATTTAGATGCATGGACATCAACAGGAATAAAGATTGCATAATCTACATATGATCCTGGAGACTCAGGGACGTCTAAAGAGACTTTAAGTAATTAAACTTAACTTTTAATTCCACAACTTATTTTTAATAAGGTACACAGATGGAACATGAGTTCTGTATTAGATGTGTTTGTGAAACCTTGTATGTAAATGTAATTTTTGAAGATGGACACCTTTCAAAGCACTGTAGGAGCTCTAGATTTAAATGGAATCCTTCAGTGAAACCTTTGGTGAGATAATGCTTTTGTAGTGCATATATTTACCCTTCAAGTTAACTCTGTTACTTAAAAGTTCTGTTATTCTATATTGGGGGGGCAATTATACTGTAAATATGTGAAAATTTAAGGCCATACTTTGATGATTTTGAAATGAAGCTAAATTCATTTCCAGTTGTTTCTGTGAACTCTAGTCTGATTCTGTCAGTCTGTAGTTCTCTAATGTTCCATCAACAGGAAGCATCTGGTCATTCTTCATGTAATTGTTAGAAAGTGCCAGGTATATTTTTGATGTTTGCTGTTCAAATGAAAATATCAGATTGTATCTTGGTTTGCCCCTACCTTCCTCATCTCTGAGATGTATGACCTTGAGTATCTCATAAGTTAGAAATATTAACAAGTAAAGCAAACAACTCATAAGGAATTCAGAAATTATTCCATAGAATTTTGAATCACTTTATTTTGAGTGTGTATTTGTGGTGGTGCTGTGTCCCTTTGCAAGTAGCCTGAGCTAGGATGAACTCACTGATGGATTCCACTGCTTCTCTCTCTCTGCAAACATTAAAAAACAAGCCAAACAAAACTTAAGAGTTGAGGACAACTTATTTTCCTAATAAGTATCATTTCTTTGATTCTACAGCTTTCTAACTAGTATTCGTATATTTCTGTAACACTAATGTATCTATAGCTAAAATTAGTAAAAAGTCTGAAGATGTTTGTTCCATCATGCTCTCTAGAAGGTAAATCTATTAAATCTGTTAGTATTAGGGCTTGTGTACCTCACAGAATTAACAACGGTGCTCTGGGCAGAGAAGATGCTTTTGGTGTAATCAGCTGTCAGTTCAGTCTTTGGTGGGCTAGTATACCTTTATTTGGACTAAGTATGTCCATGATATAAGTGTAGAGGCTTAGCATGAAGTGATTTTTCCAGTGAAGGTAAATCCATATGCAGGGCCCTTGATACACTTAGAAATAGAAATCTAAAACTCTTAGCCCTAGCTCTCTTATCTTTTAATGGGAGTGATTGTAAAGGTTAGCAGTTAGGGCCTGAGATACTAGTGCACAAACAGAGAATGTGCAAAAGATTATTTTAACTGACCATAGAATCGACATACACTATAGAAATATTATACACTAGAAGCTAGAATATTATACTAGTGTATAATATTTCTATAGTGTATGTCGATTCTACGGTAAATGTCTTCTTCAAGTTGGTAGGACATCATATATAAAGAACATGATGTCAGCCCCACTTTGCACTGGTTGTATTATACCTGAGACATTATGTCAGATTTTTAGGTAGCATGCTATCATAAGTGGAACCTTGTATCAATTCTAAAACCTGATACCAGAATCACCTGGCATGATAATTAAATAAATCTAGAGGTCCAAGCTTAAGTAGGAAAGGATGTGGGCCACTGTGGTTTTTTCAAGTTCCCCAGGTGGTAGACACTCAAGTTAAAAAAACCAGAGGACATTGATCATGGGGGAAATGAAAAGGAGAAAAGGTTGAAAAACCATGTTTGGCCCCAAGGAAGAGAAGCTCATCCAAGAAATGATAGTTGTCTATAAATACTTGGAGATCTGTCACACAGAAAGATAAGGTTTGATCTGACCAGAAAACTCAGATCAGTGCATAGAAGCTAGAAGGAGGCAGATTTCAGCATTCTTTAAAACAAATACTCTTCAAATCAGTGTATGTAGCCCTACTCGTGGGGCTCATTAGGCTTGGTATTGTCCCCCAAGGCATAGGGTTGCTGGTTCAATTCCTGATCAGGGCACATGTTGGGCTATAGGCCAGATCCTCTGTTGGTGTGCTGAGAGGCAACCCATCAATGTTTCTCTCATATGTTGATGTATTTCTCCCTTTCTCTAAAAGTCAATAAAATCTTTTCTTTAAAAAACAGTCAGTATATATTGTTTTGGGTGGTAGGTTGTCCACTGTCACTGACAGTGTTAAAGTTAGGTATTTCAGGGTAAAAGAACTGATATGCCAAGGGAAGATTTGGGCCTGGTGTCTTTAAGTTCCCTACAAACTGAGAATTTACAAAATATTAGTTTGCAGGTACAAAAGTAGAAGAGCAAGAGTTAATTGAGTGAAACAAGCTGGTTAGCTTAACTGGATCATAGTTTTTATTTTCTTGATAAAGGGAAGTGTTAAGTGAGAGCTATTTGATGAGGTCTTTAAATCCATCTGCAATTTGACAGACTCAAAAGCCTTCTGATGTAGAAATTCCAAATTACCTTGATGTAATAAAGATACTATTAAATTGGTAGCTTGTGAGCACACCAATTGCAACATTGTTGATAATAAAAGCTGTGCATTACAATATTTAAGCCCCCATTAATCATAAAGTAGGTAATATACCCATTTTTCAGAAGAGAACACTGAGCTGTAGAGAGATGAGGTAACTTTCACAAGGTGGTAGTTAGTGGTAGAGCCAGGACTTTGACTCCAGAGCCAGAGACTCTTGGTGGTTATGCTGTGGTATTGTAAATGGCCTGAATATCTCAGTAATTGCTGGGCTATATCCCTACAGTGGGGTACTGCCTAGTCATTGAAATGATGTTAGAAGAATGTAAAGACATGAAAAGATGTCTTGGTATATGGAAGTGAAAAAAATTTAATCCATTTTGATCAAGAAACAAAACATACTGACATCTGTAAAGATATGTGCTTTTTTTAATAAAATAAATTCTTTAAAACAGTTTATTACTGTATTGTTTCCATTACCATTTATTCCCCATATAACCTCTTCTACCGCCAATGCCCCAATCCCCTGCAATCACCACACTGTTGTCCACATGCATGAGTCATTTTTCTTTTTTGCATTGTTCAGTGGTTACTTCTGAGTGTAGATTTATAGGTGATTTTTTTTCTTATTCACATTTTCTGAACTTCTAGGAATATGTATTGTGTATTGTAATTTAAAAGATTAAATAAAAATTAAGATGTTATATGTCAATTAAAAATTAAAGATGTTAACATAAGGTTAGGAGTTTTGATTTTATAC